CCACATCGTCCCAGCCCTCAGACCCCTCCTGGTGGCCCTGCAGTGGATGGTTGGTTGAGGGGGTCACCAAAAGCTTGAGGAGATGACACGTATCACATAGCAGCTTGTTTCCAGCCCCCCAGAGTGTGCAGGGAAGGGAGAGGGGAATGGTTGAGGGGAGGCTGGGGAAAAAGCGAGAGCCCCTCAGCAGCAGGAGTGGGTAGGCATATGGCAAAGATGGTGGCAAGCATTCACATTAGCATTGCTGGAATTGCAGCCCAAACTGCAAGGTCGCTGCTATCGCTTCAGCAGCTGCTGCTTCTGCTGGTGGGGTGACAGCGCCTCATGCTGCTTGCTCCATGTGGTGTGTCTGGTGCTCTCTAAACAACACATTTTTAAAGGATAAATATGTATCATGCAGTGTTTCATCTGGCAACCCCAAAGTATTACACAACTACGAACAAATCAGTGATATTAACTCCTGATTTCAGGCCTAGAGGTCTCCCCGTTTTATCAGAACTGTGTCTCCATTTGCGCATTCAATGCTTACTCTTTATACAATGAATGCTTATTGAGTACATGGTTTTAAATAGGGGTGTGACATGATGTTCTTTAGTCTCAGCAAAGTCACTTGAGTGAATGAAGAATGGGTTGGAGGAGAACAAGATGAAATCTGGGGGAATAATGATTAGGCTGATGTTAAGTGGTTGTTGGTGTATGTCACTGAGAAAGGGAGCCCAGGCAACAGTGCAGGTTTGTCTGGGGGCATTGGACCATAATAAGCGTGGATTTTGGAAGTGTTGAACTGATAGCTTATAGAATACTGAGGTAGAGATATTCATCAGATGGTATAAGGCATGGTCTGAATATTTAAGTAAAGACTTTAGTTAGAGCAATAGATTCAGAAGTCATTGGTATTTGGATGGCACCATATTCCTGCCATGTCCCAGACCCTGTACATTAGGGTGAATTACCTTGTCCTACCTCTCAAGGAACTTGCTTATAGCCCAGGGAAGGAAGCAAACAAATAAACAGTCAGTTAAAATACAGAGTGACATGAGCAACACTGAAAGAATACTTAAGGTCCCCTGGGATCCAGAGGAAGAAATTACCTCTAATGTGAAACTAAGGAGGGGAGTGGGAATTTGCTCATGCAGTGGTGGGAGAGCAGTGCAGGCAAAAGTCCAGTGTTGGTGAGCGGTAAGAAAGGAAGTTCAAGAAAGGAACTTGAAGGAAGCTCATTATGGATGGAGCATAGAAGAAGAAGATGAGTAAAATGATATGAACTGAAGAAATAACCAGGGGATTCACTGTGAAGTGTTGTGAGCCCTATAGAGGACTTTGGCTTTTTTTTTTTTTTCAGGGCAATCATGAATTGATTTTTATCAGGGAAGCGACTAGAGGGAAAAAAAGCAGAAATGAGAGAGACTAGACAAGAGGCTGTTGTAGTAATCCAGGCAAGAGATGATAACTTGAAATAAACATTTTGAGAGTTATTTAGGAGATACAATCAGTGGGACAGGTGAATGAAATCATGTGTGGAGCAAGGGAGAAGCATAATTCAAATCTGCAAGAAAAAAGTGTAATTCAAATCTGAAAATTTGGTGGTTTGGGTAACTGGAGGCTGGTGGGGTCATTGCAGAGATAGCGATAACAAACATTGGAAGAGGAACAGATTCTGGGAGAGGAAAGGACATAGTTTTGAACACATTGAGGTTGACGTGTTTGTGATAGCCACATGGCACCAACTGGATACGTGAGTCTGGAACTTAGTAGAGAGGCATAGGATGAAGTAAAGACTTGGGAATTATTACTAAGCATCAGATTATTATTTTTTTAAGTCACAAAAGTAGGTGAGATCTACATGAAGGGCATGCAAAGGGAGT